CCCCGAGCTCGCCCCCTCCTCCCACCTCAACCGCTCCCCTGCACTCAGTTCCGACCCACTGGTGCCGGCTCCCACACCACGCCTGATTCAACAACGATTAAAACACATCCGCTTTTAAACGTCGTTTCACCCACACACCGACTCGTCTCTTTTTTTTTTTGTTCCGTTTTACTTACGCGGGCTTTCGGCGTCGGGCAGGAAATTCCTTTTGATGGGATGGCCACACCCCTGAGCCTACTTGTCAATACCCATTAAATGGCGCACCGGTGCGGGGCCGGGGGAAGGACCCAACAAGCGCTGCACTCACAGCATCCCTCTCCCGGCGCCACGGCCCCGCGCGGCCGCCGCTGGACCATCCAGACCCAGACATCGGTGGCCACCAGGCCATTCGATTTATCAGCTGTCCGTGCTCGCTCCCCAATCGGCAGTTTCGACGCCCTTGCCCGATCTGCCACTCGCCCGTTTATTAGAATTTCAAATTTCGTAAAGTTTTATTCTGTCAGGCGGGGCGGCAGCCGCAGTGACAGGGGCGGCTCTGCCCGCAGTCCGCAAGTACCCGAAACAAGACTGATCATCAGAGTTCTGTTCCCATCGTGTCGGGCGCAGCGTGCCTCGGCGGCTCCTCCGCCCGCCAACCCGCCTCGCGCAACAGAACTCATAATCGCAGGGCTTATAGGAACTTTCACAATCCATGGAAATGTAAATGATTTCCGCACGGTGTCCCTGTACCCCCCTGTAGCGCCCACCTGGGAGAGCCGACCCGGGCCGGGGTGCCCCTCGAATTATGCTAAATCTTTTCATTATGCGAAGAAAAGCAGGCGGACGTCACGGTCGGGTCCGCGGATCCTCCCCCGCCTCCCAAAAGCCCGTGTGTGAGTTTGAAAAGGGGAGGGGGAGGGAGAAGGGGTAGTGCGTGAGATCAGGAATGTGGGTCATACGCGGGCATCGGTACGTATGCCCAAAACATTTTCGAATATTGTGAAGTGCCCTCGTGGGCGTTGGTCGTCCCCGAGCCGATACGTGTGGAGAGGCTTTGTGAAGAAACGGCCGCACCACCCCACCTCCAAGCAGGCACGGCGCCTGCCTCCTCTGCGGAGCCCCGAGGACACCGGCTGCTGGGTCTAATTAATGTCCCCCGAGTAATTCCAATCAGGAGAAGGGAGGAGGGAAGGGACACCAGTCGGCCCGGCGGACCCCACCCGATTCGCTTCTCCATTTGCTGGGGCGGCGTGGCGTGGAGTCAGAGAGTCGGGCGGTCGGTCACGGCGTATGGCCGGCGCGGCAGCAGTGTACGGCGGGTGGCCTAGCCTGCGCTGCGCGGGCGCTCGCCACCCGGGCCCGCCCCGCGCCCCCGGCCTCGGTCCTCCTGGAGAGACCACCGCGTCGCCCCCGCGCGCCCCGCTGCTCACCGACAGGCCGGCCGTCAGGCTCGCCGTCAGGGCGACCCGGGGGCCGGGGCCGCATTTAATGAAGTCTGCTCGGCAAGTCTGCTGCTGCTGCTGCCCCACCCCGAGACTCGCCTGCAGTTGTCCGGGGCAGCGCCGGAGGGCATCGGAATGGCCGGCTTGTCGCCCTCCCCCCACTCTTTCTCTACCGCTACCCCCCCCCCCATCCCTCCGGGGGGTCCACCTCATCGCCTTCCCCTTTTCCCCCGCGACCTCTCCCGCCGCCGTATTCTTATCCAGGGGCTCGCCGGGGCCGCTCATCCTGGAATCCCATTGGCCGCTCCAGCGCGCTTGTGTGCCGGGTGCCGCGCCCCTGAAATATGGCGAACCGTATATATATTGTTTTGTTTTGCTCGGGAGCCCGCCGGCGCGCCCCGGCCCGGGGCCCGCGCTCGCCCTTTTGGCGCTATGATTCGATCGCTGGCGCGCGATCGTAAGGCCATAAGACGGGCCAGTCCGCAGCCCGCTCCCGACCCAACCCTGCGCGGCAGCGCGGCTCGCGCGGAGGGAGCGGTCCTCTGGTGCGCCCAGCTGCGACCTCTCTGCCCCACGATTGTGTTGCTGAACTCGCGCAACACCGGCAAAAAAGTGAAATCAGCGCGGGGGTTGTAAAGGCGCTTTGAAACTTAAAGCGACTTCTGCCATTATTCGATTCTCATTTCCCTGGCTGCGCAGCGGGGAAAGGGCCGGGGAGGGGAAGGGGGAGATCAAAGGGGAAGAGGAGGCGCACAACTCCTCGGAGAGTTTTGAAAGGCCCCGTCCGTGGAGCTCCGGAGCAGGTCGGTGGAGGTCGCGGCCCGCCCATCGTTCACGCGATCACTCACTCTCATTCGGGCCTTTCCCCGGACGGCGCGTCCCTTCCCGCGGCGCTAAGTGCGCCCATCGGGAGAGGGGGGCAGTTGAGACACGAGGCTGTTCACAACTTTCAATGCGCATTTGGTGGTTCAATTTAAGCCGTGGGAACCATTATTGCTCGGCCGAACGGACTCCTCCCGCGGATAGGGGTTAACATCCATCAGGTTCAGATTGAAAACGCATTAGCTCTTTCGGGAGCCTCTAGAGCTCTCGCATCTGCCAATGTACACCACGGCGAGAGTTCGGCTGAGCCCGTCAAAAGCTGACTGACTGCTGAAAACAACTAGCATACATTAAGCAACGAAAGCTTACCACCGCCCCTCCCCCCTTTCCACCAGTGTACACCGTGAGAAATTCCTGGAAGGCTTACAGGAAAAATTTTCATGGGGGTTGTGAAATTACAACTTAAATTTGTTAAATTACAAGCAACCGGTCAATGAGTACGAATGGGCTGTCAAACTTACAACACATTCTGGAAACCGTAAACAGGAAACATGTTTCAAGTGTACGAAAATATTTTCACAGTGTATATACCAGTCCGGCTAGCAACAGTGGGGTGAGCACGACCGAAGCCGAGGAACAACGGGTATCGGGACACGTCAATCACTGTGGCGGGGCGACCCCTCCGCGCATCATTGGCCAGGTCGTTTGCCTTTACGCCCCACGGTTGGTGCGATCCATTGGACCCATTCTGCAATTTCCGCCCGGCTGCTGGGAAGGAGGAGGAGGGGGTGTAGGAGGGGTAGAAGGGGGTGTTCGTGCGATCGCGGTGCTGAATGGGGACCGCGTCACTCAACATAAGGCACCACGGTGGCGTCTGATTCTGGCAAGCTCAGACGAAAAGGGGAAGGGAGGGGGAAGGGGGGAGGGGTTGCTTGAGGCCGCACGATCTCACTCAGAAACACCTCCCACGCAGTACGCAACGAACCACACCCTCGAGGGCGAGCGAGAGAGACGGCGTGAGAGCGTTTCGAGTAAGGACCAACGAAATTGCATTTCCCAAGTTGGCAGCATTTAGTGTGCCAGAGCAGCAGCAGCAGCACCCGCAGCCCGGCTCCACTAGTGCCAGACGGGACCCCGCCACGCCGCTTGGTATG